TTGTTGGCCATGTCAGCAGCCGCAGTGAGCTCCTTGACAAGCTCCTCCTGTTTCATCTCCCGGCTTTTAGTTTGTATTTTATACATTAAAGTGTTGTATTGAGTAACGTTAATAAGGTCGGTCGCCCGCCTATTTGCGTCTCTTACCTCCTCTTGTTTCTTCCTCAAGGGAACCTTGAGGCCGTCTACTCTTAGCATCACCTACAAAATCAGCCGGAAAAGGGTTAGCCTCTCAATTATGGTACAACCAGCAAAAGAGTAAATTGTACAAAAGCACCCCAACCGGCCAATTACCTCAGCAAGCAGCGAGTTGATGCGGTCAATGTTGACCTGGTGCACACCCGCCACCACCTCTTTTTCGGACCGGGTGAGGGTCCTCAGCATCCTTTTGGCATAATGTTGGAGGTCAGGCCAACGGGAAGAGGCATCTGCACCAACAGATTCATTCGTTAAGTATTGAGCATAGGCGGCACCTATATTCTGTCGGCTGCCCGAAGAATCCCCTTATTGGGTAATTTAGGACTTGACTCGCATAGGCCTAAGCGGCCAGGGGGGATCAAAGGTGAGAGCCATACCTTCATTTTCAGGCTGAGGGGTCATCCCATCAGCCGCATTGGAACCGGTCGCTACAGCAAACTGCCGGCTCGAGGGAGTTTCAGGCTCCCTCATCTCAACCTCAGCCGGCCTTGTGTTTAGGCCAAGGTCTTTCAGGCTCTTGCCTCCTGAGGTGGTCCTATCAGGCATAGGCGGCCTTCCAGAAGAGGGAGGGGCAACAGGAACCCTCTTGGACTTGGAAGGAGGCTGGGAGGGCTCCTCGCCCAGTCTCTTTAACATCTTTGTTAGAGAACGAGGAACGTTCTTACTCCATGTCTGAAAAAGAAAACAAAACAATCGATTAATATCAGAATTGACATCAAACTATACAGACGGTAAAAGAGCTCAGTCGGAGCTTACCCCATCATCCTTGGCCGCCAGTTGGGCCCTCTTCTTCTCCAATTGATCCGTCCGGATCTAAGCAGCATATTTAGCAGGCGTCTTCTCTAAAGGCACCATCTCTAATCCTCTCTCTACAAAGAAAATCAAAGTCAAAATCCATTCAAGCATGATACAAACGGCATAAAGTGCCGGTTATCAGTCAACATACGTCTGCTAAACATTGTGCTAAGGCCACAGGCGGAAAGGAACGCCTCGTCCTTTAGCTAGTCCGGATGAGGGACCTAGTTCTTGGGGACAATGATTTCAATCCCATCATTCAAAGGCATTGAGGTTCTCTTGAAGAGTCCTGTCTCCATTATTTGCATCCAAGCCTCTTTCGGTAATCTAGGAAGGGCGCATTTCTTTCCAAGGAGAGCCGGGTGCTTATTGTAGTGACGCAGCCGGTGGTTCAGACGCAACGATGGAGAAGAAACCAAGTAAAACTTGCTCTTCCAGCTGCTCCACTTTGACGGCTTGTCAAGCGTCATCATGTATTCCGGATGCGTGGTCAATGTATACCACGCATTCTAGCCGCCTGGGGCACGACTAAGGTAGTGCTTATGTGCAAACGCCTCTGAGCTAGGCGTTAAGTCCTACATCTCGCAGGCGGCTATGTATCCTAATATATTCACCCAGGAATTGGGTGTTAACAGCCAAACGCCAAAGTCGTAGCCCCTTAGAATGGCTTTTATTGTATTATGGAGGGGGAACCAGATGCCGGATTTAAATGCCGCCTCATAGCAGCCGAAGTAGTCGTCGGCATGGTCAAGGTCATCATCCCAGACAACGGTTGCCTCCACAGGCGGCACTACAATTTCCCATCCTTCCCCAACGGGCACTTCTTTAAAAATCCGGGTAAGGTAGCGTTCAGAGTGACCACATCCCTGGCGGTCATGTGCACCTCTATTGGATTATTAATGGAGGGCCATTTATATGCCTCCTCATCCCCTTGGGGGCCATCCGGTTCCAAGGTAGACTTTGAAGAGTCTGATTGTTGGACGGTCTCTTCACCGCCTATATCCTCGGACTCTTCTAAAATATCATCATTGGGCGTGCTAGGTACACCCGGATGGTCATAATGTACAGGGTCAGCTGGAGCTTCGGCTGAACTGTCTGATTTATAGTTGGGGTATACAGATGTCCGTCTTGTCCGAGTCATTCTGTCCTGCACATGAACAAAGACGGTCAGGTTCGCAGAAGAGTAAGGGTGGTCTAAACACCCCCAGACGGAATCCCCAGTCCTAGACTCAGCCGTATCCGGTGACCGGCTGACAACTGTCCTAGGCTGTGCCGTGTGTGTGTTGAGTGAGTCCATTATTCTTTACAAGCTATACAACTGGAAAAACTCAAGAAAGTTGCAAGGGGTAGAGACGGTATCTCGAAGAAGTTTTAAGTTTGGGGGAGGCTGACTATCTAGATCAGCAGCCAGAACTCTCTTTGTTGCTTGCTAGATACCCAGACGGTTGCCCGGATGTACCCACTTGAAGAGCAACTAAAAATTGTAGAAAAACCCAGCCGTTCCTCTAAAGTTTTGCTTGAAGATACCCCAGACGGTTCACCGGCTGTGGGTGTATTGAAAGCTAGGAGGATGTCAAAAGAACCTCAGGCGTTTTTAATATGTTTTTAATGAAGAAGCACTCAGACGGTAACCGATTGAGTAAAGAAAAGGAAGATGGTTGTGCAAGAACTAGCAGTCGGTATCAGAGCTCTTTTTCTCTCAGAAAAATTTCTCAAAAATTGCAAAGTGTGAAAATGAAGGGAGGGGATCTCTACTTATAGAGAACCCCAGAAGGTAAACCGTCACCTTCCAAATTCAAAAAAAAAAAAAGAAAGAGAGAGAAGGAGACGAAACGTCACCTTCTCAGATTATGACACCTGTCACAGGTGCCACATGGCAAGCCACGTCACATATGTAAGGGGCAAATGTTTAGGGTAAAACTACCCTGTCCACGTGGACCAATCGTGTCCTAACACGTGTCAACATTAGAGAGGTTCTAAGAGAATCAATCCTCTGGTGACACGTGGCACTCCAACCCATGAAGGGGGAACTGATCCCCTTACACTAAAAATAGAGGAAAATCCTCATTTATTAGACATCCATAAAGATACACACTAAACCCGAGTAATATTAATTGCAGAATTCTCTCGGAATCCGAGAGAAAAACCTTTACATTCCGCACTTTTATACATCCGGATACGTTCTAACTTGATCGTCGGAGGCGGAACTCCACCCAACCGGAGTTTTCCGTGGTTTTGCAGGTGCAGACGGTCGACGTGCATTCTTGGAACTGTAACTCTCCCGAGGGACTCCAAAAACCCTGAAAAAAACATATATATATACACACACACATACACACACACACACACACACACATTCAAAAGCCACATAGAATAAGATAGTTGAAATACAAACATGTAACATAGGATTCCTTTTGGTAACAAATTCTAGACTTATACAAATCTAACTCTTTTTGCTACTACAAATGGAGTGCTAGTTCTAGGTCTAGGTGTACGTGGAGTCTCTGGAGTCCCTGATGGTCTTTTGCAAACTAAAGGAGCAGGAGTGCTTGGACCAGGAACAATCACAGTAGTTTGGGGATTATGCTTAGGCGGAGTTGATGGGCTTTCTTCAATCAACAAAGGCATCAGTTGTGCATTACCCTTATGCCTTTTTTTTCGCTCTTCCACTACTAAACAACTTTCCATTTCTAGAGAGCATAGAACTCCTTTTAAATTTGAAGAACCATAATTTTCATCCATAATATCTAAATTATATAGCTGCATAATATAATGAACTGTTTTCTTAGCAACCATTTGTCTGGACGCATTGCTATCTAAACACAATTCACTGAATTTACACTCCATCCCACACTTGGCACGAGTAAAAGTGACTGTAAGCCAAGATACATAGCCATGCCCTTCTGAATGAACTGTTTCTAAGCCAGTTATAAGCACACTAATGTGCCTAATGACCTTAGGCAGAAAGGCCACATAATCAATCGGAAAATGTATAACATCACCTACAATCTTCTTACTACAATTCTTTGCTCTATCACGCAATTCTAAAGAGTTGCATTTTAGCCTATACAACTTTCCACACAAGTCATACATTCGCATTCTATCCATAGTGAAGTCACCAACACACACATCATATTTTTTAATTAAAAAATGCATAGCTCTCTCAGCTGCATTTTCTTGAGAGTCCTCAATAGTAGCTGCTTTTCCTCCATTAAACCAGAAAATGCCACGATGACCCTCAGTTCTTATATATACACATGAACTACACTTAACTCGATCATCCACAGAATAAGTAGGCCTAGGGAAGTCAAGACATTATGTGATCTAATCCAATAGTGGCTGGAAAGGGATACCAATTTTTTCGCGAGATGAAGATAAAGAAGCCATAACCTAAAATGGCCACATTGCTATAATTTAGGAAGCTGATTTTATGAATACAAGCAATCCTCATGATAGGAACATATGCACATATAATAAGGCAGTTAGTTCTTAACTTGAATAATACCACATACCAAGCCTAATCTAAGCATACAATGTGTGAATCTATTTGTGTCATCTTAAGTCCAAATGCATTAGATTTGGCTACTTAGCCTATATAACTATTTAAAACAAGCGGTGTATTGTCTCACTTACATAAAAAATAATAAAAATATTATCCATCAAAAAGTTGAAATCACCAAAGGAACTGCTATTTCGCATAATTCATTACACAAGTAACATAAATACAGGGGAAATAAAATGCATCCAATGCAATCAGTAACAAATTCAGAAGTTCAGATACACCTTATTAAATCAAACCAAAGCAACTGCTATTTCTCATAATTCATTACAAGTAACATAAATACAGGGGAAATAAAAATGCATCAAGTGCAATCAGTAATAAATTCAGAAGTTCAGATACACCTTATTTGACGTATCAATCTTGTGACAAGAATCGAAATTGTAAAAGTACAAACACTGTTCTAGCACAACAAATATAGCATCACAACATATAGGATGAACACTAACCCAGAAAAAGCACTTCAGCATCAGCCGTAATCCCAATAACTCCCAAACGTAAAGATACCTATTAACACCGAAACGCAAAAACAAGGAAAGCTAGGTCAACGAGGAAGATGACCATGCCACATGCCAGTTCATTTGAAAGGGGAAAATTTATTATAACCTGAATTATAACCTCTTTAGAATACATGCAAAGAAATTGCTTTACAAAAATGGCAGCATATCTTGTAAAATAGAGGAAACACTAAAGCTACGTTCATCTACAGCAATTAAAGAATTATAACACTCACCTTATGCAAGGAAACTTGAATCACCAGAGTAATCACTTGAATGCTTCCCTTGCTTTCTTCGCAGCAATGTATATGTGTGAAAAGTTCTGACCTTGAAACTTTTGTATTGCTTTGTGTGTTGTATGTAGAAAGACTCATGCAAATGATTTCACTATAAATCAAACCACACAAGCAATAGGAAGTACAAAGTTACTGTAGAGCCTTTCTAATTTGTGAACTCTAAAAAGTAATATTTTAATAGTAATATATATATATATATATATATTCACCGACTCAACCTTACTACCATACCCTACCCTACGAAACACTACAAGAAAACAGCTTGATTCCGACGGAACAAAGCTGTCGGAATCATCGGAAATTCCGTCGGAAACAAGCCTTCCGACGGAATTCCGTCGGAATAGGTCTGTCGGAGTGGCCCTTGTCAGAAATTCGACCTTTTCCGATGGAATTTCCGTCGGAAGGCTTGTTTCCAACGGAATCCCGACGGATTTATTTCTGTCGGCCCTTTTTTGACTTTAATTGAAAATCCGTCGCAACGTTCCGACGGAAATTTCCGTCAGAGATGGAGAGGTTTCCGTCGGAAAAGTTTTTTAAAAAAAAAAACAGCCCACCCCTGTCCAGAAAAACCCCCACCCCCACCCACACCCACCCTGACCACCCCCACCCCCACCCACACCCACCTGCCCAGAAAACCCCCCCACCTTTCCCAGAACCCCTACCCACACCCACCCCCACCCCACACCCACCCCACCCTGCCCAGAACAACCACCACCCCCACCCACCCCCACCCTTCCCAGAATAACCCCCACCCCCACCCACACCCACCCCACCCTGCCCAGAAAAGCCCCCCACCCACAACTACCTACACCCACCCCACCTGCCCAGAAAAACCCCCACCCACACCCTACCCTGACCACCCCCACACCCACCTGCCCAGAAAAACCCACACCCACCCAGACCACCCCCACCCACACCACCCCAACCTACCCAGAAAAACCCCCACCCACATCCACCTCACCTGCCCAAAACAACCACCACCCACAACCACCGAAATCGCAAAGAAAAATCGAAAAAACTCATAAAAATCCACAACACCGAAATCGCAAAAAAAAAAATCTAAAAAACGCAAATGAATTCAATGATCCGAAAAAAAATAAACAAAAACAATTGAAATCGAACAAAATAAATAAAATATATAACTAATCTGAAATTAATAAAAAAATAACATTACAATTATATCAAAAAACAATTATAATCAGAATTGTTTAAAAAAAAAAAACTAGATCTACAATGTTGTTGCTGTTGTCGTTGCCGCGTGTTGTCGTTGTTGTCGTTGCTGCTGGTGTGGTTGTTGTTGTTGTCGTTGCGCGGTTTGGTTACTTATATTGTGGTCAGAAAAGGGGAAAGAAGAGAAGAGAAGGAGGAGATCTACAAGAAGATAGAGAAGGAGAATGAGAAAAATAGAAGGGGAAAGAACGAAGAAAGGTGAAATAGAAGAAGAGAGTAGAGAGAAAGAGAAGCAGAGAGGCGGAGAGAGAGGAGGAGAGGAAAGAGAATTGAATAGGGTTGGGGGAGGGGAACCAATTTTTAGGGTTTAGTTTTTTTTTTTTTTTTTTTTTTTTTTTATTCCGCAAATATGTAAGGGTTTTTTTTTTCTTTTTTTTTTTCAAAATAAGATTCCGACGGAATATTCCGTCGGAAACTTAATTTTCCGACGAAATATTCCGTCAGAAATTTCCGACAGATTTTAATTCTGTCGGAAATTCAATGTAAAGACGGAAAAATCCGTCGGACACTTTCGACGGAAATAAAATCCGTCGGAATATTAATTTTCCGACGAAATATTCCGTCGGAAAGCCCATAAATTCCGAGGGATTTTTATTCCGTAGGAAATTCGTCGGAACTTTCCGACGGAATAAAAATCCGCCGGAATATACAGGATTTTCGACGGAATTTTGTGTCCGTCGGAAGATGTCCGTCGGAATCTGGCCTTTTTCTTGTAGTGAACCCTATGCACTAAAGTACTCAATACCTCTATGCTAGAGCTCATTGAATTGATTGATGTACATGTACTTTGCATAGCGTGGTTAATCACTAAAAATAAAGGAGCATGTAAATTCAGACTAATCACTTGTAAGCAACATCTAATTACAAGGAGAACATGCAATTAATTACCTAAGTAATTGTTTAGAGGCTTAGAAGGCACGTTTGATTATTGGTTTTAACAAAATTAAAGCATGCCAATATCTAAATACACCGCATTTGTTGATCACCTTTACTTAACGACACACAAATGGAATTTTACTCTTATAAGCAACAATGTAGGCACGCTTTTTAATTCCGTAGTTTCGGTTTTGTGTTTTTGTTGCTTTTTTTTTTGGGTGATTAGTTTGTATGTTTTTTTCCCCTAACAGTTAATTACAAGTAGAAAACGCAATTAATCACTCACATTTCGTGTTTTTTAAAAGTCAATACAAGTAGAAAATGCACTTAATTACTCACGTGATTATATGAAGGTTTCAAAGACAAGCGGGATTTTTTGTGTTTTTTTTGGTTAACTAATTTGTGGTTGTTTCGAATGAAGTTAAAACCTAGAAGATTAAGTAGGCCTAGTTATTAATTGCACTTATGTGTTAGAAATAACCAATTAAAACCACGACATTATCTCATTTTATTTTGTTTTTTTTAATTACATTATTATTAAATTATTATTAATTAGTGTTTGTTTGTAAACGTTACTAAAACCTAGAAGATTAAGTAGGCCTACTTAGTAATTGAATTTATGTGTTAGAAAGGATCAATGAAAAGCACACAACACAATCTAAACTAATCACATTAATAAATCCATCCACAAGCAATAACCAACCCCAAGAAATGCAACGAAGGCCATTTGATGAAAATTGGGCCTTACACTTTCCCTTCTCTAAACAATTAAATTTTAAACAAAAGGAAAAAAAAAAAAAAAGCCTAATACCAAAAAAGGGGCCTACAGCTAGCAACTAAGTGGAAGGCCAAAAAAACCAACAGAACAAGACAAAAGAGCCATATAGCAAGAACGAAATGGGAGGGCAGAAAAGGCATTCCACTATTCATTTTCAACAGTAACAGCAGCTACTGCTCCTAAGCTACAGTAGTAAGTTCCTCATGTTTTAAGAAAGGCAGGATTCTATATTCCACCTCACCAATGACCAAATATTATGACCAAAACCATTTTAATACACCCAATGGTTGCCCTATAAAGTTTGATCATGATTTTTTTCTCCTACTTTTACCATAATAAAGTTTGAAATAATTTGGTAGAACTATTATAATTAATGAAATAAATAATCATTAATTAAATAATTAATTTCTTAAATAATATATTGTTAATATGGAATTCATTATGACATTTATTACTAGGAACTAGACAATAGTTATACTTTGTGATATGATTACTAATATGGAATCAAGAAAGATTGACTTAAATAAGAACCTTAATATATAATAATTATAATACGTAATAATACAAGAACACTTCTCCAAAACAGCCAATTTAAAAAATCTTAAATATTATATAAAAAAACATTATTTATAATATAAATTGAGTACACTTAACCAAAGGAAAAAAAAAAACTCTTAAACTGATGATAAAACATTTGTTACTGCCTAGGAACCCCATACTTACTCCATAGATGCTCTACTAAATCTAACTTGAGGGTCGTATGCATAAGTTCATCATGAACACGAGCTCTATTAGACATGTAAGTCCTTCAACTTGCTGATCGGTCGCGACTTTTGCTGAATTGAAAAGGTTCTTCAATATTTCTTCTGCTTGAAGACGAAGGAGCAGCTTGGTCATATTCATATGGATCTTAATATGTTAAATATGTATCCCGCTCATCTTCGACGATCATGTTATGTATGATAATGCAAGCAATTATAATTTTTCCCAACATAGTAACATCCCGAGCTAGAGCAGGATAACGAACTATTGCAAAAGAGCTTGTAGAACTCCAAAAGCACTTTCCACATCCTTCCGCTGTCTCTCTAGCTTTTTGGCAAAAAGACCTTATTTTTCATTTTGGGGAAGAGATATTGTGGGAATGAATGTCGCCCAAAAGGGTAAATACCATCATTGAAATAATAGCCCATATCATACTGTGGCCATTAACAACATACGTAACAGGAGGTGCTCGACCTTCAAAAACATCGTTAAATAATGGAGATCTAACTAGAACATTTATATCATTACATCTTCCAGGGGTCCCAAAAAAAGCATGCGAAATCCAAAGGTCTTGTGAAGCCACTTCTTCCAAAATCAAAGTGGGCTTATTAGCTCTTCCAGAAAACATGCCCTTCAATCTGAGAGGACAATTCTTCCATCGCTAGTGCATGCAATCAATGGATCCCATCATGCTTGGAAAACCTCGACATTCACCATCTCGTAGCAATCTAACCAAATCCTCTTCATTGGTCTTCTCAAGTATTCGTCACTGAAGTAAGAGACAACTCCTTCAACAAAATGTTGTAAACAGTCTCTAGCAAGAGAAGCACTAATACGTAGGTAGTCGTCAACAGAATCAGCCGCACCACCATATGCAAGCAACCTCATAGCAGCGGTACATTTTTGTAGAGCTGATGCCCCTAATCTACCAGTAGCATTTGGTCTTTGTTGAAAAATTGATGACGTTCTTCTAAAGTTTTCATTATACGAAGAAAGACATGTTTTCTCATGTGAAATCTACGAAGGAACAAGTTTGGAGGGTAAACCGGTTGGTCAAAAAAGTAGTCGTTCCATAGACGGCTATGTCCATCTTCACGATCCCTTTCGACCCCTTGGTGCCCTCGAAACTTGATGGATCATTCGAAAGAATTCGATTGGGTTGGACGTTATGAATTCATCTATCATTCTATCAACCAAACGATTTTCTTATCTGCGTCTCTCATAACGATGGTCGGAGTCATCATCCGAATTTCGGAGGTTGTGGTTGGTAGATGAATTGGAAGCATTAGAAGATGAGTTGGAAGAGTTAGAACTTTCATCAGACATATTTTAAGAAAACAAATTTTTTTTGTAAGAGCTAAGAAATGGGTTGTGTGAAGTGAAACTAATACGTACACCAATATATAGAATGATAATTGAAAAATATCAGTAATTTACATCAATATAGCTGTCACACATTATAACAATAATGTTTGATACTTTTTTCTGAAAAATTGCAATGACACTTTATTATTAGTGTTACATCTCATCACTCTGAAAACTTGCAGTTGGCTTATGTGATCAGTGTTACATCTCATCAATGTCATTATTGTATCACTTTTCTTGACGAGTAATTTCATTTATGACAGTGAGAAATCACATCATATATATAATGACAATACATTCATTAATATTAAAAACTTCATATATTACAATAATCATTCATTGAAATTTAAAGCTACAACAACTTAAACAATATGAGTGCTGAAAAAAAAATAAAGTAGGATCTAAACAAATAACTGACACTAGGACATTAAGTGAATACTTAATTAATTTGATGGGAATAAAATTTTCACTAAATTGTTCCTTCTTTCTTGATCTTCTTCTGTTAAGTATGGTTTTGCTTCAAGTATCTTGAACAATT